CCATTTAAATATACAATTCAGTGGTTTTAGTAGATTCACAGAATTATGTAACCATAACCACTATTTAATTCCAGAACAGCTTCATCACTTCCATAATGGTGCTATGAACATTTGTGTACAAGTTTTTATATAAGCATATGTTTTCAATTTTATTAGGCATATATGAATTCCCCACAAAATCCTCCCCCTCACTTTGAACACATTTATCCCATCGTTCTTGCCAATTCCTGAAGCAGTTCTGGAAGTCCTCTTTTATGAGTGTCTTTAGTTGTTTTGCTGTGGCTGCCTCAATTTCCTGAAACAAATCAAAATGTTTACCTTTCATGGTCATTTTGACTTTAGGGAAAAGCCAGAAGTCAGAAGCCAGAAGTCTGGCTTTAGGGAAAAGCCAGATCTGGTGAATAAGGTGGATGAGGACACACCGTAAAGTTTTTATTGACAGAAATTGCCGTACCAGAAGCGATGTGTGACATGGAGCGTTGTCATGATGGAGGATGAAACCATTTGACCTTTTCACGTAAACATGTTGTTCGTGATCCATGATTTACGGCACATTTTAAAACACACCTTCTCTCAACCATAGCTCACATCTGACTGCATGGAATGAGTTGAAACTTATCATACACGGTTACTAAGTTTCGACTTGCCGCTTCCCGTATGGAAGATCCCTGCCTTTCTGTTGGCACTCAGCAGCAGTATTCACCATATTTTTTATCATAAGTCAGATGGAAAAGAACAAGAAACATATGATTTCACTCATATGTGGGATATAGAACAAAAAGCGACAAACAAAAAAACAAACTCATAGATACAGACAACAGAATGCTGATTACCAGAGGAGAAGAGGGGGGTGGAGGGAGGATGAAGAGGGTAGAGGGTGTCAAATACAAGCTGACAGAAGGAGACTTAACTTCGGTGGTAAGCGCACAACAGAGTAGGCAAATGTTGTATTACAAAGTTGTACACCTGAAATTTATATAATATTATTAACCAACGTTACCCCAATAAATTTGATAAATTAAAAAACTAGAAAAAAATGACTTGAGAAGATTTTTTTTAAAACTTGGAATAAATAAAAATATATCATTCTTAAAAGACTCACTATTATAAAAGTATCAGCTCTCATCAAATTAATCTATTCATTCAATTTAATCTAAATCAAAATCCCAGCAGGATTTTCCATATAATCTGATTCTAAAATTCATATAATAGAGTGCAAGAATTGTCAAGACAATTTTGAAATAAATAAATAATTAGGGAAAATCTGCCCTATCAGCTATCAAAACATAAGTGTTATTAGCACAGAAATATGGTACAAAATGTGGAATTCAGAAACAGATAATATTCTCTCTCTCTGTGTCTCTCTCTCCCTTTCTCTCTCTCTCACACATACATAACTAGATTATAAATCTCAATATTTTCTTTAAAAAACATTAGTTTGAAAATATAGAATGTATTTATGACCCTGAGTCCTTAAATTAGGGAAGGCCTTTTATAATACACACAAAAACACCAAAAATATAAAGAAAAAGTTTTTATAGCTTTGATTAGGTAAAAATTTAAAACTTCTATTAGCCTGAGATGTAAAATTAAGATCATTATTAGGCCAAAAGAAACCTTTTACAACTCCTATTAAAAAAGAAATGACTACAATTACAACATACAGAATTCTACACAGAAATTTTTACATGAGTTAATATTGAAATACTCCAGGGATGAAAGGAATGGTTAGGGGCATATATACGAAACAAGATTGACCGTGAACTGGTAACTATTAAAGCTTGGTGATATATATAATACAATGGTTTCATTATACCATTCTCTTTACTTCTGTATATTTTGGAAAAATCTCCATGTTTTTGTGTATTTATTAACATGGAAAATGATCCAAGAGTATAGAACGATAAAAGCAAGTTGGCACATACGTAAACTATTTATAATATATTTAAAATATCTGTATTTTATTTTCTATGGGACAGTTTTCTTAGGCCAGTTTCACTAATTTATATTTTCTTAAATATAAATTTGTAAATTCACAGAAAAGGTATGAAATATTATAAACCAAACTGAAATCGGTGGTTACCTCTAGAGAGAAGGGAGATACCTGCATTGCGAGTGTTCATCAAAGGGGAATTTTAGCCTGATCTATAAGGCTTTAATTTTTCATGTAATTAAAATGTAAGAGGTTACACAACTGCATATATTTATCAAAACTCATAGAAATGTAATTGTTCTGCATCCTGTCTGTGGTGGTGGTTAAAAGAATCGATGCACATGTAAAAACTCATAGAACTATACAACAAAATAAGTGAATTTCATTATAAAGTTTAAAAATGTTTTAATAGAAGCCAAGAAACCTCATACAACTGTTGATGATTTTTTTTACCGTATATAAATTATATCTCAATGTACCTGACCTTTGCAAAAAGGAAGATTTTAATTTAAAAAGAATGATTATGATATAATTCGTTTAAAGAATAGGGTATAAATTACATTAGTGGTATATTAATTTTAAAAGCAGATTACAAGGCACATATAAATATATATACTCTGTGTGTGCATATAGTATATTCTACTTATATGTCTTCGTGTTATTTTATTGCTGCATATTAGGATTATAGACATTTTTCTCTTTGCCAATTTTCTTCTATTATGAATACACATTATTTTCTAATGAAATAATACCTTTTTTCAATGTTGAGTATGTGGGCACTGGCCCAATGGTGGAAACTCAGTGTAGAATTTCCTCTCACACTGGCTCCGCTGCCCAAGCCCAGACTCCAAGGATGAGCCTTGGCAGTGACCCAAGGGAAGGAATTGGGGGGTCCCTGTGGTATCACATAAGGAAAAGTGGTCAGGACCCTGACAACAATGTGTCACTGAGTATCTTGATCACCGAGTTACTACAGGCATGCACGAGTTTGCCAAAACGAATATAGCTCTTAGGAACTTACTTTGAGGCCCCACCAGGCATGTCAAAGATTACCTTCCCAGCATACTAGAAAGCATTCTCTGCCAGCAGATTGGCCCCTGTAAAATTATTTATAGGAGATTGGTTCACATACTCAAAATGATATGAATACTTCTAATTATATCCAAACATGACAAATGTCAGTAAGAATTATGCTGAGGGTTCATGTTGCCAAATGTCTTGCCCTAACAAAGAGACGATAGCTGCAGCATCAGCACATTAGTTCCTATATAAGCATGACAGATCGCTCCTGCCTTATCTCCACCAAGAAACCAGAGGTAAGTGATGGGGGCCTTGGGACTTTTGGACCCCAGGGGGCAGAAAGAGCTTACCCCATGACCCATCTCTGAGCCTGAAACTGTTCCAACCGTAACCTTTATTTTCATAGATTCAAGCTTTGAAGCAGGGGAATTTTAATTCTGTAACTATCTTACCGGAAATTCAGAGCTTTGCTAATAAAAAAAAAAATTTTGTTGTCTTACAGTGTTGATACTTCTGAACCTGCATTTTTGTCTGGAACTTCAGAGGTAAGACTCAGCTTTATTCATTTGTTGATCTAATGAAGCTGGGAACAACTCTTAATTATATACCACTTCTATGTTTTTACAATTATGTAAGTAGATGGTGCTTCCGAATAGTCTTATAAATGCTAGCAAGTTGTTGTTTCAGAACATCTTCTCTGAGACTACCCTCAATTGAGTTCCAGGTTTTAAGGACCATTAAGGACAGCGAGTTCTCAGCTGCACTTAGACCTGTCCAGGGCAAGAGACTATTGCACGTTAACTTCCCTCTACTGCAAAGTGATGAATACTTAAACATTGCACCAATGCGTTTTAAACACTCTGGGAAAATTCTTATCTAAAAGTGTAACGCAAACAAACATCTGGTTAAAACCATAATATTTCAGCTCCTTTTTGAGGGTTCACTGTTATTTGTTTTTAAAGATTTATTATTGTTCTTTTAAAAGGTCACAAGTATTACACGCACAGACTGTTAAATATATAACTAAATTAGAAGAGATCCTGGCCCTTCCCCAAGTAATTATACCTGAAAGGAAATGAAGGACTTAATCAGTCTATCAGGCTAATGTTGCACAGGCATATTTACTATCAGAGGACAATGGCTTACATGCATGTGATAAATTCTTTTTAAGTTTTTGTCTCCTCTTTTCTGGATGGAAAGAAAAAAAGCCAGTGGAATTTATGCGGGAAAAGGGGGCCTTCTCCATGCCGAAGCTCTCATTTCTCTGTGGTTAAATCTGTTAACCGACGGTTGAAATCTCTCATGCCAAAAGGAGAGTGTCAGAGAGATTTTGGAATTAAGGCAATGCTAAATCTCTTGGGAGCAAGACAAATGACTACACATCCCAAATACTGGCAATTTATTATAAGGTTCTTTTAATGACCCACTGAGAGACATAACACCAAACGTTAACATCAAGTAGATGTTAAAAATAAATATTTGGTTTATGAGTTAAAAAAAACACAAAAACGACCATCTAAAAGGCAAGGATTTTTTTATAGCTTTGAAAATATCGACCTTCATTTGCACAAGACAAACTTTCCTTCCTAACTCTATAATTGCCCTAGCACATGGCAGTTGCAAACATTATGCAGAAGGAAAAGTGGGGATTAAAGAATGACAGTTGCTATAAAACAACCCAGCAACAGTTTTAGCTATAGATACTGTTACAGTTTAGAGATTAAAATAGGCAAGGATTCCATTTTCATTCAACCGTAGGTACCCTAGCCCTAAAGGTAAACATACATGCAATCTAGGAAGGGAATTTTCAAAGTTCTAAAAATGAAGACCCAAATGACAATCTCATTCTAAACCAGTCCTGAGTTAGTGTTGCTGTGTTTGAACTCGGGTGATGGCAGCTTGGAAGAATAGTTACTGCCTAGGTGGTAGAGGCTCAACAATACTTTCATTTCAAATCCTAACTCACATGCATGATTTCTGGTTTCTATTTCTCCAGCTCTCCCATTTCTTCCCTAAGGCAGAATCCTCTGCTCAATACATCGCAGCCATGAGTTCAGACGCTGAGATGGCTGTTTTTGGTGCAGCCGCTCCCTACCTTCGAAAATCGGAAAAGGAGAGGATTGAGGCCCAAAACAAGCCCTTTGATGCTAAAACATCAGTCTTTGTCGTGGAACCCAAGGAATCCTATGTAAAAAGCACCGTACAAAGCAAGGACGGAGAAAAAGTAACTGTAAAGACGGCAAGTGGAGCAGTAAGTAAAAACATAAGGAGAAAATACAATTTTTTTTTCTTTATCTCCTCACTTCGAGCTGAAGCCTTACGGATGAGGAATCGCTAAGCCTATTGCCAATACAAGCACCTTTCTAGTCCATTTATGGACACCAGATTTGGAAGGCAAAAGAATTCTCAGTAGTAACCTCATTTCTCACCTTCCCAACTACCCACTAGTATCAGCCTCCCCATTTCCCTTCAATTCCCCACTTCCCAGTGTAAATCCCCCACTTCCCAGTCTAAATCCCCACACCTGGGGAAATCAAAACTAACTTCTCCTATCGGAAGTAATATTTACTAAGTTAAATAATGTATTAATATTCCCCATTACTTCCCCTCAAATGGAAGTTTCTTGAAATTAATGGCAAGGAAAATTTTAAAAATTAACCTATTAAGACAAGAGTGAAAGGACATAACCGGATAAACTTGGGACAGAGGAAAAAAATTTTTTTTAAAGGTAATATCCTAGCTCACCATAGGAAACAGATTTTTTTAGCACCAAACTCTGAAATGAATATATTTTCATGACTTTATTTAAAGGACAGTGTCTGCAAGTGTAGTTTTATAACCAAAACCAACAGATAAACATAAACCCTACCTCCAACCATTAGCATAAACTGGCCTCTTCCTTTACTTGCCAGACTCTAACTGTCAAAGAAGACCAAGTCTACCCTATGAACCCTCCGAAATACGACAAGATCGAGGACATGGCCATGATGACCCATCTCCACGAGCCCGCTGTGCTGTACAACCTCAAAGAGCGTTACGCAGCCTGGATGATCTACGTGAGTGCCCTTCAGCCTCTCTTTATTCCGTTTATCTCTCTGAGTGAAAACAAGATCTACATGTTGCATTGTCTGATTTTCTCAGACCTACTCGGGCCTCTTCTGTGTCACCGTCAACCCCTACAAGTGGCTGCCGGTGTACAACCCCGAGGTGGTGGCTGCCTACCGAGGCAAAAAACGCCAGGAGGCCCCGCCCCACATCTTCTCCATCTCTGACAACGCCTATCAGTTCATGCTGACTGGTGAGTGAGTGACGCAGGCATGTACAGAAATGTGGCGTTACAATCTTTAATGAACAAACAGACTTTGTCTGGGACTTGATTATAATAATACACTGCAGCCACATGGGGCTTCACGGTTTTCAAAGAACTTTCAGAGCCACAATGTCATATATGCTTCCCAGCAGCCATCTCCATTTTATAGATGAATAGAATCAAGCTGAGTTCTCTGACCTGCCCAAGCTAACCTAGCTAGTCACTGGAAGCCTCGTTGAAACAATTAACAGAACTCTGTAAACATACCTGTTGCTTTCCCATATGTTTTGCTTTCTAATTTGAATAGAAAAAAGTTCAGATTCATTTTAAATATCCATATCCACAGCAATCAAGGAAAATAGTTACCAGCTATAGCTGGAAAGCTTTGTAAAGTCTTATCTTTAAATGATACAGCTCATATTGCTAGCTTTTTGGGCAGAATAAGAGTAAAGAAAGAGCTATGACTTTCTGTAAAATTTCTGAAGCATTTTCCTATTAGAATGGAGGAAAATAAAAACCCCTCTTTCTTTGAAAATATATTTCTTAATTATTTAAAATCTGTTATTACTGCCTTATCAAAGTATAAAAAAGCTTTGATGTGCGCTATAGGCCCAAACACAGCATTAAAACCTTTTATCTTCACACACCAAATATATTGCCTTTGGAAATATTCTAAATTCCTGAGTTTCCTGTTGGTTCATAGGATTTTGGAAACTGAGAGGATTTTGTTCCTTTCTGTTTTTTTGTGTTTGTTTTGCTGCACTTGTTTTTAAATTGTCCTCTAAAGGAGCAGAGAAAAGAGAAATGAATAAAATAGGAATCTTTTATTACAAATTAGCCAGTAGTTCTAGTCTATAAGGATTTCATGCCAGTAAACTGTTGTTTGGTTGTGAGCAGAAGCTAACCACCTTCCAGAAATCATCCAAATGCTGGCTCACTTCAGGGGTTTTAATACTCAGCAGCTGCATTTCCACTGCCACCACCCCTACCAAGGTCGCCGCCCCAGCAGCTTTGGAACTGCTCCAAATTCAGGATTACTTATGGCTTCCAACCATGATTTTCATATAAAACCATGCACGACTGTGGTATTGGACCGGGGTGATGTTAGTTTAGCCAAAAGAGACCAGGACGTTGTTATCTACGCTCTTACTGGATGTGATGTGATCTTCATGACTTTTCTTCTATTGGAAAAAGAAATCAATCTCAATATATTCCAAAATCTGTACCTACTTCCCTGAGTAGAACTTTAAAGTTCTCTAAAATCTGTATCTACATCTAAATAACATGCAGATTTTACCCATTTCTCCGAATGATTTTTAAATTTGAGAATTCTCAAAAATCTATAATCTATCAGTATAAAATTAGTGCTTTAACAACTCAGAAAATTGGTATAAATCCAACACATCAGTCATATAATTACTGACAATTTTTTGTTTTTATTATTTAAAAATGAATATAAAATAAAAAGGGAAATAAAAATAAATGATAAGCTTTTTATAAAGCATTTTGGGATCCTTCAGCAGAGGAATTCTCCTAAATCCTGAGTATTTTTATAGTAGCATAGTAGCAGTATCCCCCATGAACTTGATATGCCCGTGAGTCCCAGTTACTATCATTAGTCTATATGGTTCTCTCCGAGAGATTTAATGAATCCATTAGATAAGTAATGGATAACCAGCCAGACAAAATTTGAGAATGCATAAACTCATCGCCATGGAAACTTATACAAGATATCTTTTCCTTGATTGGGTGGGGTTTTACTCTTTTTATGTGAGATAGTAGTTATTTGTGACCTAAGATTAATTTTGGAATAATTTCTACTATCAGCTCTGAAGCTAGTTGTACTGATGTGGGATTTTGCTTGTTCATAACAAAAATGAAGTAAATCTGGGGGAAAATTTCCTTCAAAAAATGGCAAATAAGCACAAACATTTACAATTCCAGATCCTTTCTTTATTTAGTATTGCCAGCAGTCAAATTAATAATATCAAGAACTAGGAGGGGG